AGAGAGAGAGAGAGAGAGAGAGAGAGAGAGAGAGAGAGCCACAACTGTAACAATTACAAGAAGTAATAACCTAATAATAAAAGTAAATAACAACACCTTAAATAAGGATATCCGCATGCCAATTTTCTCAAACGATCCCGATATGCAGAAGTCAGGCCCTTTGTGACCCTTGGCCCCCTTTAAACTTCTTTTAATACCAAGGATTCCTCGTAAAGCCTGAAAAATCTACACAAAATAGAGAATTAATTGCTACAAAATCACAAACAGTGAAGAAAAAAGAAAAAAAGAACTGGAAATAAACAAATTAATATCGAAGAAAAATGTGTCTGATAATCGATAACTGAGGCCTGTGAGCAAACTTGGGTCAAAGTTCACGTAGTACCCCCATTTGTGGGGCCCTTACCCTATTTTATGGGCCCCTTACCCTATTTTCATTCCTGGCCACCTTAGTACATTAGTACCCTTCTTCTGTTTTTTTCCAAATCAGGAAACCGAAACAAAAGTATGGCCGCTACCGCGCCCTAGCCATTGACCGAGCTGTCTGGGATCCTCAGCGACTTTACACAACGCATCTCTTTTTTTTTTTTTTTTTTTTTTTTTTTTTAACACATCCCCTGTAGTGCTAGTGGTGTTGATTCGAGGAACCAAACACCACTAGCACCTGGGGAGAAGCTCCATCTATTGGTGGGGAGCGACACCTGCCGGAAAACGGGTCCAGCGTCCCATATACAGACAATCAACAGAATGCATCAAGAAACCAAAAAGGTTTGACTGAGGAACGCATCTCAGTGTCACTTGTTTCATTATTGAGACGGAAGGACAAGCCACTCACTTTGCATCTACTACTTTCAATAATTCTAATTGGCTTGCTGGATTGATCGGTGCTGAGGCTTTCTTCTATTTATGTATATGTTCCGCAGCTGTGAAACACCAAGGTTCAAACTTTTATACCTACCTATACACACAATGATGTCATACTAAGGGTATCACTGACCCCCCCTTATGTACATACGAACACTCCGGTCCGACCAATCAAGTATTATTGAATTTCCTGGCTACTATCTCCACTAGGGTGTTGTTAGGTATCCGGGTATCCCCTACCGGGGTACTGGAATAGAGCGGGGTAGAAGCTAAACCCTAAACTGTGAAGAGTCTGAACCCTAAACCCTAAGCCTTGAGACTTGCCAATTTGCACTGGCACAAAGCCGCTACCGGAAAACCTCAGCTGGAGAATAGGATAAGATGAAGCTGAACTGTCCGCAAATCGACGGCAGTATATGGCCATGCATTGACGAAAAAAAAATCCACACCTCCTTCCTTATCCAATGTCAACCTTCACTGCTAAGTTAATTATTAAATAATGAACTACTGAACCATTGGCAGAGTCTGGGAAGGGAGTCTCAGATGTAAACAGTATCAAGCAAGACAGCATCTTACCCTCCCACAGATCTGAGCCTGCATCTCTCTCTCTCTCTCTCTCTCTCTCTCTCTCTCTCTCTCTCTCTCTCTCTCT